CTCAGATCAGCTGTCCTCTGTGCATACAGGGTTTCAAATTATCATGCCTCATCTCCTTTAGTACTTTCCTTTTCACCTTACCTGTCTGAGGACTGTGTGTTTCACCTTTTCCTATTGAAGTTATTCATCATACAACAAATTCTGGATTCATTAGGCCTGAGAGAAAAGGTGACACCATAGCCTTTTTGTCAAGTCACTGTGTGAGAAACATGATCTCTTATTCCTGCCATGGTTTCTACATGCAATAAGCCAATTTACAGCGAAATATTTAATGGTTTTTTTTTTATATTTAAATAGAGTATTTTATAAGGAAAATGCATAGATGGATAAAGACATTTAGTTACCTAAATCACTCTGAGAGGGGAAAGTACTACCACCTAAATACCTAACACTAGGTTGGGTTGCCACTGTCTGCATGATCAGTGTCTGCAACGATCGTTCAGAACCAGTTCTTAAAAGATCTCTAGACTTGTCTTCAACCATAGAGAACAACAAAGTATAAGAAGTGCTGACAGTAGGGTGTCCTTACTTTGATCTGAGAGGGCAGAATTGTTGCATCCATTACATAAAAGGAGAACTGAGAGAAAAAGAGGAAACAGGAGCAGCAAGTGTTCTATTAATATATTAGAGATGTTTTTAAAGGTGATGTGAGATGTATGATATGGACATAAAATGTATATATGCAATGTGCTGCATAATCTCTGTAGTAATGCGCTTGTTCTAATAAAAGACCAGCAAGTACTTCCATACTATTCCATATGAAAATCTGACTAACTTTATGCTTCTGAAAGTAATGACTTTGCATTTATTGGTGTTGTATTACTCATGGAACTAGAACTGAATCTGTAGGAGTATTACATTTTTAATACACTTTTAATGAGATCTTATTTTAAGTAAGGTGCTTTAATATAATAAAAATTAACTAAGAAATGAAATTGCATAGCAATACCCCAAAGCACTCAGGATTTTGGCTTATATTCAACACTTAAATAATTCTAGGTGGTAGGAGAAGAGTGAAGCATACAGAGTAGATGACAGCCATAGGTTATCAAAAATAATGGATAGCAGAAGAGTAAGAAAAGAAAAGATCTGAAATTAAATAAATAACTTCAGTTGATGGAAAGCCTTTTCTTCTGAAAGATCTAAAGACACACTAAAAGTTACTTCACAGAACTAACTGGATTTGAAGAGTCTACCTACATGTTACCACTTTCATTGACATTAAGTCTTTGTGGATATGTATTTTATGGCAGGCCCTATTTTTGATATTTTTGATTCTTTGCTGTCTTGTCCTTCTACATTTGTATTGGCCTGGAATTCAAAGGTTGGGCAGCAGTAGAAGGGAATTTATTTAAATGCTTTTCCACTGAAATGCACTCACTAAACAAAGGACTTTCCTTTCCTGGAAAACCACCTAGAGGAGTAGTGAGTGAGGAGGAGAAACAAAAAAGAATACTGTTTAGCAGTGTGCTCCTTTGCAGGCAATAGGTCAATTGTTTTTGGAACAATTTTTCATCATTTAAAGTGGCATCCTCAGTGTCAAGAGGTATGTGACGTGATGATCACATACAAGGTCTATATCGGAACTGCACGTATTAAGGGAAGAAGCATAAAGGAACAATGGGCAATTATTGGTCAGCCTGATTAGCAAGGAAAACCGATTAACCTGGGAATTCCTCTGGCAGCAAGGGGAAAACAGTTCAAATGCTCTCTATAACCTGCATTCACTCACGTTACATTTTTAATTGCAGGATTTTATCAACAAGTATGATTATATAGTATTAGTTGACTTACATGTAGTTAATATACTAGGGTTGTAAACAAAATGCATTTAGGAATTAGGCAATTGAAGTTTCAGATATTGAATTTGGATGATGTTTATGAGCTGAAAATTAATCTTACTGGGATTACAATACAATTAATGTTATTGCAATATAGCTAGTGCATGTGTATTGTGAAATACAACTAGGAGAAATTAATGGCTACTTTTGGTTACATAAATTTATCCTCATTTCTTTAGGAGTCTATTTTTGTCTTTTGAAAGTTGTTCCGCATATACTGAGATGTCTCATCTCTGGCATGAATAAAACATATGCTTGAATTTGGTTTACCCTAGCATTCCCTCTAAAGATTTTAAATGCATCATTTATTATCCATACCATTCTTTGATAATGAGGATTATCTATAGGACAATTCTTGTCCCACTTCACTGAGGCATTCACATTGGGAAAACTCCGGACCTAAAGATTCTTGTTAAAGATTTATTCAAGTCTGCAAGGACTAGGATCAAACAGGAGAGAAATCTGGATGCAAGCCCAGCATGGGCAAAGCCATGAGATGTAGTTTCAAGAGCCACCAGTTAAGACTACTTCGGGAAATATATAATGTGCAGTGAGTGCTCTCAGTGCTTGTAGTGTTTTTTCTTATTTCAGTCTAGCTTTAAAATATAATGGGCGTAGTTCACAATGCACCCCTGTTAGATCCTACCTAACTGCCCCTCTACATGGTTAAATTCAATGTTTAGTTTCTCCTAACTCACACAGAAAAAAAAGTTAAGAGCAATAGGCACCAAACTTTCTTAAGCAATAAAAATCCTTAAATACCTTAATAAGTGACTAAGTGCATGACCAGAAGTATCTAAAGTAGGAAAGTGTTTAGCAGATAGGAACAGACGATGTCTACGTTAGCAACCAAACCAGGCCAGGACCCACAGTCTACCCCAGGGGCAGATGGCATGGGACAACTGCTTAGCCCACTTCCCTCCAGAGCTGGAGAGCTTCATCTATCCCATCTGTGAGGAACAGCCCCTGGTCAGCGGCATTGTGTGGGAGGTTGCTGTGTGGCACAGGTCGAGACGGTGCCAAGGAGCACACTACCAGATTAGCAGAAATTGGCAATGCTTGTGTCTCCTCTGACTTGACTTTCTCTAATTTATTGGTGTGGATGTATTCATTAGCTTGCTAGAACTGCTCAGCCAGGATGAGCACTTTTCTGCAAATGCTGTTATACCTCTTGTTCTTCTTCTAAGAGATGTTTCTCTGTTTTTCCCCTATCTCATTATTTTAGGGTAGGAGTCTCTCAGTTTCTCCTGTTAAAGGTGTTTGCCTTGCCTGGAATAGTGAGATATTAATTGAGTGGAAGAAAAGAGGAGAGCCCAAGAATGGGCTTATGTGGTCTAATGTTAAAAAACATTGGCTGGGAGTGGAAAGGCTGAATCCCAGCCTTGTTGTAGTCACTGTGGGAATGGGGTCAGTCCATACATGGACCAGTTTAATTAAACTGGTATATATTGCATCTCCAGTTGTATCAGTATGATATTCTGTATGGACACCATGCCTGAAATTTGCATTAGGACAGCTGAGAAGGTCAGTCTGCACAACATGCATTTGTTTACTTTGGTTAGATGAGAGAAAAATAATTTGGTCCAAGGTATGTAAATGCTATTTAGTGTGTATATATTCACCCTAAATTCAAACAGTTAAAGCACCTCCTATCTCTTCATAACTATTTTCTTTTGTCATGTCACATCTCTCTGTGAATTAATCTACATTCCATAACAATCCAGTTAGCAAAAACCTGTCAATTTTCTGGCAATATGGCAGATGTACAAATTAAATTAATCGATTTGTGCTGTTTGAGGTAGCTCTTTCCTGTTCTTACTATGAGAAACATGAAAAATGTTTCTTTGACAAGATTGCTTGTAAAATAGATTCAGCGAATTAGCAAATCAAGAAGATAAATGTATTCCTAGACAAGATCAAGTTAGGCCTGGTGCAAATCATGTCACACTTCTCCAGTTCTTTCAAATCCATTGTTTTTTCCAATGCTTAATAATCAATGAAAATTTCTGTGTCTGCCAAGGTGCTGAGAAGGAAAGAACCGAAGTGCCCCTATTCAGGCCCAGCAATTTATTTTCAAAGCTGACTGCCTTTGTACCAAGGAAATCAGTAGACGGCATAGGAAATCGGTAGATAGAGTCGGTCTCTTCTCCCAAGTAACAAGCGGTAGGACAAGAAGAAATGGCCTAAAGTTGCACCAGGGGAGGTTTAGAGTGGATATTAGGAAAAATTTCTTCACCAAAAGGGTAGTCAGGCACTGGAGGTGAGTGCCCAGGGAAGTGGTTGAGTCCCCATCCCTGGAGGTATTTAAAAGCCAGGTAGATGTGGTGCTTGAGGACATGGTTTAGTGGTGGACTTGGCAGCACTAGGTTAACAGTTGGACTTGATGATCTTAAAGGTCTTTTCCAACCTAAATGATTCTATGATTCTATGGAATAGACATTCAAACTTATGCGATGAGAATTTTTAATTGATCAGAATGTTAGAAAGGGTAACGTTTACCAAGCCAACACTGTAGAACAGAATGTTTTACTCAGTTTAGGATCTGGAAATATGTAAAGACTCTCTTGCACACAATTATTTTAATTTTTGGAGTTCCAGATCCAATTGCAAATCTTCTTGCAGCTTTTTGAAACTCTTCTAAGAACATGATCTGTAACATTTGTTAGATATGTGGAGCTAAACTGGCATTTGTCATGAAGAGCTGAGAGTCCTGCCCTGACATGGGATGCTTGTCATTTTAAAGCATTTGAGCCTCCCTAATCAAAAGGGATGATGCTGCAAAGACTTTGATAATAGTTTCTATGTTTAAAAAAAAAAAAAATGGTAGACTGATCAAAGAATCTTAGCAGTTTCAACACCAAGAACATGATTGTTTGTCTTGATCAATTCACGAGGGATTTCCTAAATTCCATGGAAACCCAACTTGAAAGCACAACTCCAGGCACAGTTTTGAACAACAAATTAGATCATGTAAATAGACTTATCCAATTTCGGTACTTAGAGGGCCACTGTCCTTAGAATATCTGGGTGCTTCATGATCCTTAATGTGCTTGAATGAGTCACTAAATTATTAAGACCACAATTCAAATTATTTGGAATTTATATAGGAAAATGAAGAAAGCTGATGTAATTATTCTATTATTCTGCTGTGCTTTGCAGGTCCTAAAATGGTAGAATTCCATGGTCAGCAATTTCAGATCAACTCAAAGGACGGCAAGCCACTTTTTACAGTGGATGAAAATGAGGTTGTAATTGGCACAGATAAACTTCGAGTCACAGGTTTGTAACAGTTTAATACATGCCCAAATAATAGCCACAAAAAAAGCACAATAAAAATGGCAATTTTTAATATATCATTGTGTGTGAACACAAGTTCTGGTTTTACCTCATTAGGAAATAGAAATCTGAAGGTATTCTAACTTTTTTCAATAAATAATAGTAAGAACTTTTAACAGCAAAATAATAATATGTATATATAAATATGTATATATCTCTGTATGTGTGTATTTTGTTTTAAAGCCATTAGTGATTGGAACTGTACTGGTGCATTTTTTCTTGAATTATTTAATGTTTCCAGTGCACACTGTTAACTGAGGCTGAAAAAATTCTAAATATTCTGGTTTGAGTTGTATTGAGTTTTATTTGTGGAAACTTTTTAGGCTCTCTCTGATATTTTTATATGGTTTTATCTTTCAAAGTGAAAGCCACTGTATTTCTGCTCTGTGTGTAGCACATGTCACAGGATGGTATTTGTGGTATATTTAACATGTCATCTGTCAAAAGACAAGTTTGTCTTAGGCTATTTCTGCAAATCACAAAAGTACTCATTTACAAAGTAAGATGTCAAAGTTATCACCTGAAAAGCTATTTCCTTTCATATGACCTGATAAAGTCAACCTTCATTTTCCAGGTGTAAGGTTGCACTAAAACAGATACATCAAGGTGTGATTTCTCTTTAAGCAGAAGAGTCCATCAAAGGAAATACTGAAATTATCCTGTAACTTGTTTTCAATTAAATTTTTAACCTGATTGCAACTATCATGTTTAACTTTTGCTAATTATTGGTCCTCTGAAATCTTGAGGTCTTAATTTGTATGGATATATTCATATTATTTCACTGTGCAAAACTACAAATGTGGTAGTAGCTATACAATTAGTGTTTCAAAGCCAAAGTTAAGTTATAATAACTGTGTTAATAAATTTTGTTTACGCCTGAGGGTCTTATCTTAAGTTTTTTACTTTTTAACCTAATTGAAATTACAACTTTGTTTATCCAGGAAACCATATCAAATAATTATTGTTTGCCCAAGGGATGCTAAACTTTAATAGAAAAGCATGTTTAACAAAGATATGAAAAACTGCATAATTGTTAACTGATTTGGAAAAGGTCTATCTCTGCTTAAAGTAAGTAAAAATCATTCATACATGAGTTGAAATTATTATGCTAAAACATGTATTCTGGCTCGTCCAATATTAATCTTTACACTGCAAGGGTAATTGTTTACTTTAGCAGATATTGTAGAAACACACATTGCCTGTTTCTTTTTAACACTGTAGTACAATTCAAAAGCAAATCCATTAAAGTCATTGAGGTTATTTCAGGGTAAAATTAATGAGAGGAGTTTCATGCCTACTTTGCTTCAAATTAATTTATTAAAATTGTGATTTAAATGATACTATTAGCATGAAGGATAAATTAGTAATACTTTGCGTACTGAGATAATTTTTTAAACATTTTAGACAGAGAACAAGATCAACGTGGCATAAATTTTGAAGAGTTCATACCATAAGAAACAGACTATGTCAGGCTTAAAACACACAAAGAACATTTTGCAGTTTTTTATGTACAATATAGTGAACTATTTGATTTTACTTCTCCTTATTTATGTGAATTATGAAAAGCTCAGTAACAATTTGTAAGAAAAGCTGACAGTTTTCAACTAAAATATAATACAGCAGAGTGCAAATGTCTGTGATTTATGGTATTTCAGGAAAAATGAAAAAGTCTAAGAATAAGCTAATCTAACCCAACACCTCAGGAATTGTCATTTTCCAAGAATTTGGTATGTTTGACCTCATACTGTTGCAGTTCAGACATTTTCTGTCCCATGTGGTAGAACAAAATAGTGGCAGACTCTCTCTGTTCTCCTTAGAAGAGCAAGTGCCTGGGGAAAGCCATGATCAGCAAAGTGTCTCAGATACCCCACAAGGTCACAGATGGGTCTAGATGCTTATGTTCAGACAACTGAATTGAACCCCCAGTCAACACAGTCAATGCAGCCAAGAGCGTGATTCATCTCACCTTGAAGGAGACACCTAGTCCTGGCATGCAGAGAGCTCTTCTGCTGACCAAATGCAGTTGTCTACTTTAGGATGAGTTCAATGGCTCCCTTGAATACAGGGGCTGAGTTCAGATGCTTAAACATAAGCATCCAGCAGTGTTTGAAACACCTTAGGGTATGTGAGACACCACATGGTATCGCTGTACCTACAAGAGACACTTCCTTCGATCGGTGCAGCTGGAGGCCAGGCAGGATGTACAAGGGTATTTTAGATGACAGTAGGTACATATGATTAGGCAACTAAATTCTGCCTGTAGCTCATCTGTGACACCTACATTGTCGACACTTAAATTTAAGTGTATGAAACTGAAGCTTAGCTTAACCCATCATGACAATTAATGCCACCTGGAGGAGCATGTACTCCAATTACATCCTCTAATATTATTTCAGTAATGATCTGCATCTTTTGCAGACATTTATTATGCTGCTACAGAGGTATTGAACATCAGCGTTTTGTTCTGGTAGGGTTTTATACATTCAGTTGGCATTAGCGTCAGTGAAACCAACCTTGTGACCATGTATTGGCTGTCAAAGAACCAATTGCTTTATAATTAACAATATTGTCATGGCAGAAGGAGTGAAGTCACAACACTGGCTGGAAACAAAGTTCTTTGGCACAAATGGCTAGAGTCCACAGCTGTAGCAGTCTTGTTTTTCCACTCCCTTGCCTGCTCTGCAAACTTGCCAACTGGAAGGCTGTCCATAGGAGGGAGAAAATAGGCCCAAGTAAATAAAATTATGTACAATAGAAAAATAATTAATATTCAGCAGTTATAAAATGGTCTCAACTACTGCACAAAAAAACTTTTTAACAAGTACAAATAATAATTTATACATTGTGACTTGTATAGGATAATATTTTGGTGATGAGTACATAGGAAATTAATAGAAGGCAGTTGCTTACCCTCCACTCTTCTTAAAGAAAAGCTAGCAAGGCAGAGGTGATCAGTATCTTTATGGAGGAGTGTATTATATCACCCTTTCTCCAGTTTACTACTTGTCCTTCTGCTTGCTTGTCTTTCATAATCTCTTAAAAATATTTGCTGAGTATTGTCGGTGATCTTCTAGTGCTCTCTTCTATGGAAAGGTTTTCAGTTTGAGTAGCTAACACTGAAGAGCAATGTGAAGATGTGTGTTTAATTTAAACTTTTCTGCTGAGAAGATAAGTAGGAGACAATTTGAGGGTATGAATAAATGTTCTGTTAGACTTTGAAGAGGCAGATAGTCCTTGCTAGATAGTGGGGGGGGATTTTAATGACACTTGCTGACTTCAGTCCTTTCGTTAAGAAAATTAATATCTTGATCTTGTATGTTTTAGGATTAAATTATGTTATATTCATAAACAATAGTCTATAAAATAGTAAATATAGTAATATTCATCTCATAATTAACGTTATTTCTTTACATTTTAAAAGATAAAGTAGGTAATGAATATTAGAAATCAATTTAGGGCCATTTTGAAAAAAAATTTGTCCTGAGGTTATTTTTTTTAATGTCATACTGTTCAAACTTAATGCTGTTTGATGAAGAAATTTTTCTCACAGGGAGGCAAGGTTTTACTCTTGCTTAGAGGTGACAGCTCTAGAATATGTAAATAAGCCTTTTCATTCCCTCTTATATTCCCTCCTCTGGAACATTAACACTGATGTTTCCTGTTGGCTTTCTTCCATTAGCCTCTATTTCCATGCAAGTGATACTATCTCTGTTAGCACTTACCTGTCTTTCAGAGCAGGGTGTCTGTGTTAGGAAGTGGGAGACTGAGGCTGAATTCCTCCTTGGCCCAGGAGACTTCAATCCTGCAGTCCCACCTTCCAGGACAGTGCTCTGTAACGCCATACAAAATGTTAGGTGCCCAGCTTGAGGGGATGGCTGGGAACAAGCACTCTTGATGTCTGCCAGCAAAGTGAAGCTCTGCCTCTGACTACATGCTCCCTCATTTCTTCCTCTTTCATTGTTCACCTTCAAAAAGTGAAGCAGAGGGTGAGATCCCCAGAGTTGTTCACTGCTAAGTGTGGGCTTCAGTCTCCTCCAGTGAGGAGGGAATGCTCCAATGACAATACTGTTTTATAAAGGCATTTGGAAAGATTACGTTTAATTAAAATGCTGTAATTGCTGGGTTTTAGGGCTTACTCCAGTGCTCTTGGTTTGCACAGGCTGAGAACTAGCAATACAATTGGAGTCCTCTGGGGAGTTCGGTCTCTCTGGTCTCTCTCTGCTCTTTCTGCCTTGTTTCTGAGCCACAGTGGTGCTTAGACCAAGAAACCAGCCATTCCAGACCAAGGGACAGGAACAGATCCCAAAAACAAGGATCTGGTTTATTTCAAACAAAGCTTCAGCAGCCACAATTGCACTCAGGCCTCACAAATCTCTCTTTGTATAGATGTTTGTTCCCCTCCTCCAATCAATTTTGCCAGGCTCCTCTTGCTGACATCTCTCTGTGCATATCTGGTCATCTTTAAGGCAAAAAGTCCAAACTTTGATAGGAATGTAAAAGTTGGACTAGAACAGGCGTCTGATTTATCAGCTCACATCCCTTTCATAGACAGAGAAGTAGGTCGTATAATTTCTTTTATAATCTTATCAAGCTATATCTCAAATTCAAACAAACACTATTCATTTTTAGGTCACCAAATGTGAACTTACGTCTGAAAGATGCTGTAGGAGAAATACAAAAGGCTGTATAAAAACAGGTCCCAGAGTGAAATTAGGAAAGCCTGTGAGCCAGAAGAGTTCCCTCCACTGCCATGAGCTCTTCCTTGTGCCTTGCAGCTCTGCACATCCCATAGAAAGACATTGTGAGGACACGTTTGGCATGTGGCATCCCACGCCTGCTGCGAGGTGCCCCCAGCAGCCTCTCAGCCCACTTGTGAGCAGGCTGCAGATCTAGTTTTGAGGATGGCTTTAAAAGTGACCTCAAGACTCAATAGGGCATTCTGA